AAAAGTTAAGGAAACATATATAAAAGTTACTAATCGGAAACAGTTCCGCACTGTTTCTGTTCAAATTGTTATGGTTAATCCATTTACTGTTACGGCACAGTCTGTTGTTAACAAATGTTTTGTTTTTATACTTACGTAATCTATCATAAGCCTCATATCTACAAAAATTTTAGAAAAAAAGAAAGCGGCTGAACCGATGAAACTTCAAAAAACTAAATTTTAAAATTTTATTTTCTATAGTTTCCAGGAATAACAACATTCATTAACTTTACTCAAACATTTGCATACAATTTTAAGAGGAATCAGTACATACAAAGACAATACGTTAATAGGTTTTTTTTCTGTCTTCTTAGTCATCGACTTTTTTTTTTCACAATAGTTTTATGATGAAATAAATGTGTACTATAACAAACAACTAAAAGGAGAGGGGGAAAAAAAAGAAACAAAAAGGGCATAGTTGTAACAGTAAAAATAAACTTAAATGTTGTTAGTTTTTTTTCATCTTATTTCTTTTTAACTATTTTTATTTCATTCTTCTACATTTTCCTCATAAAAATTTTCATTTTTTTCTTTTTTTGCTTTTTAATTAATTTATATAATGTATTCAGATGATCATAGTATTTTAAACCTACTTGAGTTATTTAGGTGGAATTGACCATTTTTTTTTTTTTTTTGCATGTTAACATGTCATTTGTAATTGAGGGAGAGAAAAGGAAGAAGTAAAGCGGGAAGAAATACAAAGCAAATGAATTACTGAACAGTAATATCTCTGAATTTTGTGTTCCAAGTGTTAAAGTTTACTCAGATCTCATGTATAATTAGCAGTGTTTGCTACTTCATCTAAGCTTTTCTGTTCAAATTGAATTACCCAACTTCAGTCTCAGGTTTTTAGCAGCTTCTACCCCTACGGTTTAACACCAGAGTTGATGAAACCGAAGAGGTAGAGTGGAGGGTAGCATTGGACTGGTAAAAATTTTGGGCAGTTATGTGCGTGTCTGTATGAATGTATTTTATGTGTTCGTGTGTGTGTCTGTATGTGTATCTGTGTGTATCTGTGTGTATCTGTGTGTGTGA